TACGATAGATTCGCGCGAGAAAACTTAGTGTATACGTATCTTACTCATTAGTACCGTTGTACATATCATGAGTGGCAGGCAACCCCCCTCGTGTGTGTGTGCCCGAATCATGAAAAAGGGGTTCGCGGTTATACTCTTCGCGCTGAGCGCGCGGCCGACGGCGATCGAGGGAAGCCGAGGATAGCCGAGAACGACCGACTCGGCCGAACAGTCGCGAACGAAGCCGCTTGGAAGAGACGAGGTAGTCTCTAGGCAGCCTCCGCCCGTGTCGTGTTGTTCTTTCCGTTTCCTTAGTCTAGTATTTCAAGCTTTAATTTTCTCAGCCGTATCGCGCAAATTCTTCCATTAATCTCGTACACACACACACACAAACGTTACAAACATACGTTTACGTCGTCGCCTAATAATTTCGCGTCCGGCCGTCGCGTTCCGAAATCCGAAATCCCGTCGTTCTCTCTTTCTCTTTCACTCCCACGTTTTCTCCCTTTGCGTCAGGTCTACGCCGAAAGCATCGATGTCGATGCGCGGCCGTCGTCCGTCATCAAGTGCATCGAGGACGGTCAGGCGTTGTGCATCATAAATGCCGGTTTACGAGCGAAGCGGTACTTTTCTTTCATTGATTTCCTCTTCTGTTCCGGGCGGTGGTGCAAAAGCAGCAGTAGCGTGATATAACAGTGCACGTTAGCGTTAGTGAGAGCAACGGAGGGAAACAAAGAGAGCCGGGGGCTCGCGAAAGGGCTGACAAGTACATAGTTCGCACGGTGCTCGGTTTCGCGTGCGACGCGACGAACGGGAAGCAACGCACGGGACGAAGTGACAGGCACGTCAAGACGAAACAGGTACATATATATATGCATACCGGAAAAAAAGTGACCTGTGTAAAGTTTTATATAGTCTAGGTATGTAGAGGCGAAGTAAGAGCTAGATGACAGTGTGTTTGTTTTTGGAGAGAGAAAGAGAGAGAGAGAGAAAGGAAAGGTGTTTTTTTTCTTGAGTAAGTGTGCATCGCGCGATTGTACCGAAAGATATATGGAGCGAGTCGATTTGCCGAGGAAGAAACAAAATGAGATAAAAGATACCCGGCACACTTGTCGCTGGTCGCGTTCCCGACACGTCTCGGAAGCACGTGTCACCGCGTCTTTCATCGCCGCCTTCTTCGCACAACCCCTTATTTATACGGCATGCGTGCACACGCGTCGCGGTGTTCCTACCTCCGATCCGCTCGGATTCTCCTCGTCATTTCTCCTCTCTCTCTTTCTCTTCTCCCCTCTTCCGCGCTCCGAAGCTCGTTGCGCTACTGCGTTTATGTGCGTACGTCGCATATACACCGAGCTAAAGCGAACCGGTTTTTCGCGCGCGGAAAGGGGCGTATGTACACGCGGGAGGGGTTCTCCCTCGGAAACGCGCGCAGGGGCGGCAGGAAAAGGGGAAGGCGACTCTCTCGCAGCAGACCAACGAGTGAACGAACGAGCGAGAGAGAGAGAGAGAGAGAGAGAGAGAGAGAGAGAGANAGAGAGAGAGAGAGAGAGAGAGAGAGAGAGAGAGAGAGAAAGACAGAGGGTGAGAGAGCATGAAGCACAGGAGCCGCGCTCGTATTGATCGGCCCCGGCCACGCGATTTTCACGATCCGTCGCCATGGCCACCTGGCCATCGGCCGAAGATCGTATCTCGACGACATACTATGTGCGAATCGAATTTCAAAACCCGCTTGAAAGTGTCCGTCAACTACACACGTAATGTTTCTTCGAGAATTACTTTGTAGGAACGTGTTTTTTTTTTTGCGTTTCTCCGAACAAGTTTGCATGAAGCGTGCGCAAAAGAAATTCCTTTCGCAAAGTTGCGAAATTAACGGAATTACGTATTCAATAAACATTGTCCGATTTACTCGAAAATGGAAGTTGTAAACAATCGATATATTGATTGTTGATAATTAGAAAATATTGTTATAGTTTATATGTATGTGTGTGTATATATATATATTTATATTTATTTATTTACTTATTTACAATTTGAATTAAAAATAATGGTAGGCAATCGATTAATCTAGATATTAAAGTTGAAGCCGAAGATAGAGGTTTGTATTAAAAATTTGTATGACAATCCAAACGATCGGGGGGTGTTACATGATAACGATGCCGCTAAATTGAAATAACAAGGTAGCATTTACCAGAATAAAAGCGGTATTTCCGTTTCATCGATTTCGTCAGATCGATAGCCCCGGTTTGTTTCTAAATAACTCTTCGGTTGTTCTCTCAAAGGGGATTTCTCTTCGCATTTCAGTTCACGACAAAAATATTTTTCAATTGCATTATTTTTCTATATCAATACGTTACGATAAAAATTTTAACACACGTCGCGCACGTATGTAGTTGTTAAATTTTATTTACGGATTCGGTTAAATTCTCTCTCGAAAACATCAAAGCGTTTTGAATTTTCCGATTCTCTTCTCTACTCCAAGTAGATTCAAGAAAAATTTCCGAAAATGTGAATAAAATTACTTAGTGTAGATGTATAATAACGAAGTTATTTCCAAGTAAATCTTGCATTCTTGTACTACGTTTAAGGCTTTTGAGGGTGTTTTCCAACCCCTCGGCGTACACGCATGTCGCGTCTATTGTCATCTGTTAATGATGACGGAGATGTGCCCAGAAGTCAGTGTGATACTTTTACGACGTATGACAATGGAGATTCTCTGTCAGAGTTCGTAATGGCTCTCTCTCTTTCTTTATTTCTCTTTCTCTCTTGCCTTCGGCATTGTCGGATCCGAAAATATATATCGCGATGGCGAACGCCGAGCGCGGATCGATACTCCGAGGAAGATGCCGGGTTGCGATAAGCGCTCCGCGACTTTTCTGCTTCTACGTGCGACGCTTTTATCGCATACGTTCGTAAACAAAGGGACCGCGGGCGTTAGAGAACGATCGGTCTCCTTTATTCCGCGAATAAAATCGAAATAAGATATTTTTCCTCGCTTGTGAAACTGTTCTTATTTTCTATTGCCGCGAACAAAGATAAGCCGGAAAGGAAATTTTTTTTTTGTCAATTTCGAGGCAAACAATCTAACTTCAAAACTCGAATCCTAGCGAAATAACTTTTTGTCAATTTTATACTTTGCATAAAAATAGTGAAAAGTATCATTTTTCGTTTTTTGAAAATTTTAGGATGCTGCGCGCAAATAATGAATCTATCTGTTACCCCGGGACACGGCAGACGGTTTGTTTTTAGGGTGGCAACCACCACGAGTCAGAGAGCTTTGACCACGCAGGGGGACTCTAAAGACAGCTGATGCCCGCGTAGAAAGAGAGGGAAAGAGAATGGGGAACGGACGCAGAGGAGAGAGCGTAAAAAAAAGAAGTAAAATGCACGTCCGTGACTCGTGCCGACTGATAAATGTGTCGCCGCAGCAGTGTGTATGTGTACTCGCCTTTAATCGCGAGCACCGTAGTGGCACCCTAGAGTAGCCACCACACGTAATTCCCCTTCCTCGCTCTGCCTCTGTCTTTCCCTCTTTCGCTCTTGTTTCTTCCTTTACGCTCGACCGCGTGTACATGTACCGGGTGTCCCGCTCAAAAAAAAAAAAAAGAGTTGCCAAGTCATCCAATTTGAAATTCAGAACGTAGACAACGTGCTCGATAATTATCGCGTGTAATTCGATTTTAATATTCTCTTGCAGATACAGTTTCGTTATTACAATGTGATTTTAATGAGTTTGATTTTGTATCGTTATTTACAGAACGATAATATATAATGTCGGTTATTTCGCTTCATAATTAATTTATTCTCCAGAACGGATTCAGAAAATATTTTCTGTTTTTTTTTTGTCTCTGTAGGAAAATTATAATTGATCGACAACGAATTGATAACGAAACTTTTATAAAGCAAATAATTATTGAATTATAAACATTGGCTGTGTGTATTTTCTGTCTGTATCTGTTTGATCTACCATGTAGGGTTCAATATTACTCGTTGTGTCCTGCAGTTTACAGTTTGAACATGAGAGAGGGTCCTGTAGCCCTTTAAATGACAACGCGGGGGTCGTCGGCCCTTTTAAATTATTCGACGTTACAACGTTCTCTTCAAAGTTCTGCCAACCAATAAGCGCTTGTAATATTCAGAAAATCATCGTCGTATTTTTCTAACGAATCTATCAGACACTTTTTTTTTAATTACAATTTTACTTTAATTTTAGATTAACTTCTTTCATCGAGGATTCGTTATGTTTAAAAGTTTCTTACACACGTGCGCGTATGTACACACACATATATGAAAAAAATGCAGATATTAAAAACAGCTTTTTTAACAATAAAGTACCTGAATTAAAACTTTTTTAATGTATAAATATTACGCAACATATTATGATAAATTAAAGAAATTGTGTGATGAAATTTGCTATTTGTTTTCTAACTGATACAAAAAAAAAAAAAAAAAACGCAGAGTCGTTTCGTCAGTTTCGCTTTGAATAAGCTTGCTCGTTTTTGCACAGAATTCATGGGAATTGACGCAAAAAGGCCCAAGACTACTTCGAACCACTTTGGAACTTCTCAAACGTCAAAGAATGTCTCGTGCATCGTTGTTTTGATGATTACGTGTAATACACGTCCTTCGATACTTTTCGTGTTTACATCGGAACAACGCAGGCATACGTGTCGTCTGGTGTTTTTTGTGTGTTTTTTTTTTTTTTTGTATTATCGTATTTGCTATTTCGGTATTTTCCAAGTATACATAAAGCTTGTTGAAACTTACCATCTTGTAAAAATATGCAGGTTCAATAATATCGATTATCTATAATTATGCAATGTCGTAATTGCATGTTGATAACGATGCTGATTAATTGCAATACGTGATACATACATGTAATAATATTCATTATCGAAGAATAATTGTATCAACAAAAATGACACAAGTCAACAAAAATAAAATAATTTTCTAATTGTTACATATATTGCTGTGATAATTACTTGATGTTTACGTGGGTAATGTGGTAATATTTTTGCTTGCAGATTTCGTACGTTATTAGGGACGACTCGTTAGAGGATTGCAATGATGGCAAACGGAATGGACACAGTTGTGCAACAAAACGGAGGATCGACTCTCGGACAGACGTCGCAAGAGGAATCCAAGACGAATCTCATTGTAAACTATTTACCGCAGAGCATGACACAGGATGAGATCCGTTCTTTGTTCTCTAGTATAGGCGAGGTTGAGAGCTGCAAGCTTATTCGTGATAAGCTCAGCGGTAAGTTCTGCATTCATTTCTCCCTCTCTTTCCAGTTGTTAAAATTTGCATTAAAAAACCTGTATTTTTTTTTCCTCTCATAAAAGGGTTGCGTGATTTGACAAATTCTCCGATTTATCGCGACATTTTACGCAATCGATTTTCGTGTTCCTGTAATATTCTATAATATGCGTATTATTTAGCGTAATTCTTTATTTATGTATGTATATTCGCACCGAGTATATTCCATGCAGTGGCAGCGAGCACGTGTATAGACGTTGTGACGCTATTTCGAGCAGCCGCGAAGAGAGCGGAGGCGGCGGCATTTAGTTTGAAGATTTGCCGCTTTATGCTCGACCTCACTACGGTGAAATCACAGTGTTGTGTCGTGCAATTTACGCTGCCTTGGAAAAACTTTTTCTCGATAAAAATGCCGGTTAATTTTATTTTGTTCTTATTTTCTGCACTGATAAAATTAGATGCGTCGAAAAAAAGAGAATATGATTAATTAAACATAAAAGATAAAAATCTTTCTCAGAGAAAGAAAGAGAGAGAAAAAAATGTGCGTGTAACGAAAAGGTTTTAAATTACTTGCGAACGATGGAAACACAATGTTACGTTGTTAAAATGATAAATAATAGTATATAAACATGTTTCACTTTTTAAAATTACCGTGTTTTATTATCTATCGGTTGTTTCAGCGTTGTAAAATACTCGAAAAAGATAAGAAAGATGATATTATATTCTCTTAGTAAAGCTGAAAAATAATTTATCACGCTTTTGCGAGTAGTTCCGCAATGCCTTCGGCATTTCGCCAACTACTCGTTGATATATTTGCCACCACTACGCCATTCATAAACTGATTTCGACTCGTATCGAAGAAACTAGAATTATTATTGAAATATCTCTTTTCTCAGTGCATCTATTTCAGTTATCTAATAAATATATGAAATCCGATTAAGCAGAACGAGCGAGAAAAATTGAAAAAAAAAAAAAAAATTTTCGAGATTATATCAGTAAGATATAATCTAGATAGATATGCAAAACGCTAGATAGATATTGCGAGATTACTACGTGGGATTGCCATGATCGTGATTTATCGTACAATACACTTGTCGCTCAAAAAATCAATTTAACGAATTTATAAATTGACATTTTTTGATTGTAATTTTTCGAAATCGATTACAATCGAAATGTTTTCACTTTTTTGCTATCATAATAAGAACAATAATAGGGAAAGCGAAATTACTTCGATCAAAATAGGTTTCAAAAAAAAAAAAAAATTATATAATAACATTCACCGAGCATAGGAGCACTCACTTAGGTTTAACCTTCGCGTCATTGATCTCTCTTCTTATATTTGAAACCTCACTTGTGAACGATTAGTCCACATCTTGCAGATAATCTGCTTTTCGAATTAGTGTTTTTCGAGATCGCGTGTTTTTGCTTGCAGGTCAGAGTTTGGGTTACGGTTTCGTCAACTATCATCGGCCTGAAGACGCCGAAAAGGCTATAAACACGCTCAATGGTCTTCGTTTACAGAATAAAACTATCAAGGTGAGTAACAGCTCGCTAATCCATTTCTAACAACCACAGTATATCACGTGATTCGCAATTCGTCAAGCTCTTGTTCCGTTTACGAGTTCTTTTCTGATGCAATAATAAAATAAGTCAAAATATTTTGAATATTGTTTCATATATAGCTGTTGTTTGTAATATACAAGGACACAATAGATTAGAGAGCGGCGAATATATGTTGATGTTTGAACGATTCACACTTTTGTTTTCTACGAACCTACACATTGTTTCGATCTCTCCGATTTCTAGAATGCTAAATGCATCTACATGAGTGTGTAACTCGACATTGCAGCAATATAAATAGGTTGGCCTGAATTCGTACGGATTTTATCGTGCGCGAACAAGAATAAAGCGATGATTATCGCGTGTGAGCGCGTTTTTCACTATCGCCCAAGCGAAATGTTAAACTTGAAACTAAACATTAAACTTAAACATGAATATATTTCGGCAAGATTTATCTTGCTGGTTCATCAGTTGGATTATGTATATATTCGAATAATCGATAGGTATTTAGAAGAAAGAAATTTATGTCGAGGCGTATTTGTCGCTTTCTTTTTTAGGTATCGTACGCGAGACCGAGCAGCGAGGCGATCAAAGGTGCAAATTTGTATGTCAGCGGTTTGCCGAAAAATATGGCGCAGCAGGATTTGGAGAATCTCTTCAGTCCTTATGGCAGAATTATCACGTCGCGGATATTGTGCGACAACATTACCGGTAGGTCTATGTAAAAAAAAATTCTGTCAATCTCTCGCAAGCCATTTGTCGTGAATTTTCACTACGATCGAACAAATATAAATTTCTCGTCACCATTTTCGTGACGAGACGAAAGTACAAATTATGAATAAAAGTTTTTGATATTACTGTTTTTAAATATCGCGTAAATTTGACGTTTCTGCGATATTTCACACACATAGCTTCTTTTATAAAGTTAACTGTTTTCTGATATGTTTGAACATTTGTGTTGAAAAGTGAACATTTTCCATTCAATTTGTTTAAATCGATATTCACGAGAAACCATATTTATAACAACAAAATTGAAAAAATATTGAATTTTAGACTTCGATACGTTAGGTGCGTAGGCCATGGGGTTGGAACAATTTGCAGGGTGGGTCGGTGCGCCATGAACGATAATAAAAATACACATAAACACATCAATATGAAAACGATTGATGTGAATAAATATTTCAATAAGTAAAGAAAACCGTCATCGTATCAGTTTTATTTCTGTGTATTTTCTTTTGCTTGTACACTTTACCGTGTGCATTTTGTATCATTTTGAAAGCGTAATTTACATGATGTAGGACTACTTGACGATGACGATTTAATACTCTTCAATATCTCGCTTTTTTTTTTTTAGTTAATTCCGACCCTTCTTCAGTTGATTTTTGTTTGTGTTTTTTTTCTTCTTTTTGTTTTTTGCAAATGTCCTTTCCAGTTGCACGCACAAAGCCTCATGGCCTCCACCACGATCTTAATTTTTCCTGTACCGTGCTCACTTTTCACTTTTTTTTTCATTCTCATCAGTCGATCGATTTTATATGTTATCGTTATCACTCGAATCACAAAGCATGCTTGGTTGGTTCGGTTTTTTTTTTTTTTTTTTTTTCAAAAATTTAAGTTCAACCAACATCGCTTTTGTTTTTTCTCTCGGAAAAGTGACCACATGCGATACGCTAAAGTTTCTCTTTTCTGAGCGCTCACGCTTTTTTATATATAAATAAGGAAATCAGAAATTTTACACGAAGTTCGCTCGTCCCTTATTCTCGTTTCATGCGATTCAGTTTCGCAATGTACTTTTTTTTCTTTGTCACGCGAAAATGAATACTACTCACGTGCGTAAGTCGCGAATTATGATTAGATAACAATAAATGAGCGATAAGAAACATGTTAGAAATCTATTACAGCAATGCTTTTATAACGGTTGTTAGATTTTTTATTTTGATAATTGTCTACATGTGTAATTATATATTTTTTAATAAAAAAAAGTTTTGAGATTTTCTTTATAAATAAAATCGCAATTTTTTTTAATTACAAGTTAATATAATAAAAAGTTATCGCGGATATTAATGCGTTTTAATGCTTGCAAAACTTATTTACATTAAATGTTTGCAAATGCAAATGTTTCGGATTCTTAAGCGTGTTGTTTGGATTCTTAAAAACAAAAATATCACATAATATTAAAATCGTGGACTTTCTCAAAATTTGCTTTTGTTGCATTGTTTTTTGTTTCGTTAATTCCTTCATCTTGTCTCATCGCCGACACGTTTTTTTCTTATCATTCATCGAAGAATCAGGGACGAGCGAATCGCGTGTGCTGCTACTTGAATTTTGAGATGATTTTTTTCCGTTTCTGTTTAGTACGACAGTTTGTGACCGGCGGCGGAGACAATTTGCCCGGTACGTAACTCACAAATCTCTTTTCTTTTTCTTCATTATGTTCTTCAGCTGAAACGAAAGCCAGCCGTTCAATTTGCAATGTGCGCGTCTCTTCTCTTTGCGTGACCTCGTTTGTTTTTTTTTTCTTTTCTTTCGCGGCAATATATACTTAAGTTTTGATGTTATTTCGCCGTTGTAAATAAACTACAACACAACGTATGTCGAACGTCAGAGCTTGTCACGTGGTGTAATCGAAAATCGATTTGTGAACACACGAGGTATTAAAGGTCGATCCGAAAAGATCTTGTTTGCCCGGATAATGTTTTGTTTTAACTTATTTACAACTTTAGCAAGCGACTGATATTATTTTCAGCAAAAAACTATACGAAGTTACAAGCTACATGTAACAAATCGTATTTAGTACGTTTGTTGTAAAAAGTTAGTGTATTCGAAATTTCTGAAATTTTATTTTTAAAACATTTGTGTGTCTCTCTAATCTCACTTTCTCGTCGTGCAAACGAACGAGACGCGCACATCCAGCGTTTCCTCCTAGCGCCATTTTTGTTTCTTTACGCTTTTTGTCATTCGTTATGATTATAATTTGCTGTTACGATATCTTTCGATTATATATATTGACATTTGATATTATTTGAAATATTCTCGCTCTCGTTTTCTTTATATCACCCTCTTTTTCTCTCTCTCACTTTCTCACTTTCTTTTTTAGTTCTTTTTTTGTTTTTATCAATAACATGTCAGTTATTTCAAGTTATCGTCGACTTATCAAATAGCGATGATAATGTGACAAATTGTAGATCAACAATGAAGTGAAGAATCGAAAGAACGACAAAAAGACGTACTCGACAATACTTTTGTCGGTGTATCAGTAAAGAAACGAATCTGCGCGCACCGAGCCACTCGCCTTTTCGCGTCTCTGTGTGTAATAAGTTTTTTTAATGCAGATAAAAAGGTCTCTCGTTTATTTCCTGAAGGCGTGTTCATGCAAACATACTCGCAATTCATGCCTCTTATGTTCGATAATATCTGAACAAACAAGAAAACAAAGAGACCTGCGCCGCAATTTACGCAAAATAAATAAACGTTCTATATATTGTCAATACCTAATAATTGAAATGGATAATGGACAGATGACGGATTATTATTTCACAGGATATTGAATCGAGAGCAAGTTAAAGCATCATGTAAAAGTGACACATTGCACAGCATAAAAAGAAAATCGCGACGAAAAGTATTCGAAAAATCAGTTCGAATAATTTTTTTCATCTTCGAAATTATCGCTAGTTTTACGTTGAAAAAAAAAACCAAGGAATACGGAAATAGAAATTGATCGATCAATATAATTTATCCTCATCTTAATAATTACGTTGTGTTTGCTCGGCATCCTCCGTACAGGCCTGTCGAAGGGAGTCGGTTTCATACGATTTGACCAGCGCGTCGAAGCCGAGCGAGCGATCCAAGAGCTGAATGGCACCATACCGAAAGGCTCGTCCGAGCCAATCACCGTCAAGTTCGCCAACAATCCGAGCAACAACAACAAGGCGATACCGCCGTTGGCGGCTTATCTCGCACCGCAGGCTACGCGGCGTTTCGGCGGGCCGATCCACCATCCGACCGGCCGCTTCAGGTACATTCCACTGTCGCCACTATCCAGGTACCTACTCGCCTCTACTCGCTCTACCCAAGGATCGCTCTCTCTCTCTCTCTCTCTCTCTTTCTCTCTTTTTCTCTCTCTCTCTCTCTATCTTTCTCTATCTTTCTCTCTATCTGTCTTCTCTTTGTCTCTGCGATCTCAATCTTTCTCTCTCTTTCTTTCCTTCTCTATTTCTATCTTTCATTTTGTTACTTTTATTCAAAGGTGTTGCGCGATCCAGTATGTAAGATTATAATACAATATTTCTTTGGATTTACACGCGAGGCTTGATATAAAAAAATATATAAATTACATATCGCGAAGTGGTCGCGCATTATCTTTTAACTCGATTTTTTTTATTTTTCTATTATTTTATTTAATTCTTGTCTAATTCTTCAGAGCTGAATTGACTTTTACTTCGTTCAACTGTATTTATCTAATTATCCATGGATCTCTCTCCTTGTTCGTCCATTTATCCACGTTTATTTTTTATCCGTCTAATATATAGGTATATGTATGTGTATATCTATCTATCAGAGATACTATATTTATCTTTTTCTATTTTCTCTTTCTCTATCTCTCTTGATACACACAAAAGCGCGTGAATACGAATTTTCGATTAGGTCGATCGATCGCTCGTATATATAAAATATATATACAATTATATACATGTTTGTGTGCGTGTGTTTGTGTGTGGATGTGTGTAAACTCGTAATTCTGATAACATTGAGAAAATAAGACGTGAGTTTCTTTTATTTTTAATATGACATTGACACAAGAGTAATTTAAAATGTAGAACACTAATTAATAAAAACAAACAACTTTTTGTAAAAATTATAGAAAAATGCATGTCGGTCGGGCTATCGATCGATCGGTCGTTCGCAATCATTTCTACATTTTATCGTACGAATTGTTCGGCACAAAGCTCCTCCTTTCGATCATCCGATTCTATGTGTGCACTAATGTGTCTGTCCTCTCTTTACTTTAAGTTGTGATTGTGCACGCTCCGTTACTTTCAGGTAATATATTACTTAGACTTTGTGTTGGTTATATGATATACTTTTTTTTTTTTTTAGAAACGGTATTTTCCGTATTTTTCATCACTTAGTTACACGAGGTAAAACAACAACGGTCAATACGACGTTTTAAATTTCTCAAATAATTATTTTTCATTGTCACGGCATTTGTTATAACGTTATCATTCTATATGTGATATACGTATGACATACGTACAAAACTTCATTGAAACGGTCTTGCATTTAAAGAAAACATTTTAATCAATAGTATTTTAAAAAACTTTAAATAACTTTCTACTAAACTTTCTGTCGGAAGTCGTTATAAAAAAAGAAGAAGTCACAATTAGTAAAGTGTTTAAAACTCTTGAAGAAACAAAAAGCAGAAATTTTTTTTCGTAGAAAAATATTTCAAAGCGAAGAAACATTCCTTGAGTGAAATCGCGTGTATTTTTCTTCGCTCAGAAAAGTCCTGTTTTGTAAATCGATATGCCTCTTATCAAACTTATATGCCTCTTATCAATCTGTCAAAGGCGATACGACTGAAGAAAGCTTTCTGTCCTTCTTCACGACCTTATCGAATAATACAAGAGTAAAACGGTAACAAGAAACGTCGGTTGAACTTTTATTATTTGCATTCGCAATTGTGTTTTATTAATTGTGTAAAACGTTTTTATTTGTGCTACGTTTTGTTATGTTTCTTTTCGGTTCTCGTCTTTTTATTCGAGGCTAGCGATCAGTAGATTTTCTGAGATAGACATGTGTTCATATATCGCCATAATTGGATGTTTGATCGATAAGTGAAACGCGCAGAAACACATAATAATACGAGCTTGCAAAACTTAAAGCTGATCTTTGGCCGTTTTCGAAACACGGAGGAGCAAAACATACACAATAATCTTGCACAATAGTCTCTGCATTTATCGTCAGTATCACTGCATTAGTAGTAAATTACAATGTGCGTAACATTATAATTATAAAATAAAAAGGTGTTTTAAGATATAATATATACCTATAATACATATAAATGATTTTTTCAAATATTATGCAATGTATTATAAAGTTTTACGAATTATAGTCTATTTTTTCCAATTATTCAGAGAGATAACTGACGATAAATTTATAAGTCACAGGCTTAAGGACTATTGACACTCACAAAGTTTATATATCTTTCTAAGTTGTTATATCTCTCTTTCGTTTCGAGCCTCCTGTATATAATACGCATAAGTCACGATGCTCGCTATATCGAGAAAGCGATATTTATTTCTATCTTTAAATAACGTATCGTATTCGTAAACTTTACTACCAGGAAAGGAGACAATACATGCACTGTAAATCTCCATTGATTGCACGTGTCAGGTTCGTTTGTTTATGTGTTGAAAGAATTAACACAGAAAAATACGACAAACTACCGAAATTTATCTCTTCGGAAAATCGTCATTGAGATCGATTATTTAGTTTTTATTTATTTATTGTTTTAATAAGTACAAAGCGTTAACCGAGTGTAGCTGCGCTTCGCTATCGCTTTGTCTTTCATCAAGTATTCCGTTTTCTTTCTGAGAGCAAAGTGGTAATAAGAATTGTTCGATCGTCGATACTAAAAAAAACTCGAAACACGTGCATGTAGAAGAGAGTTTGAACTATTTTAGTTGACTAAAATAATTTTATTCGTCACAGTTATTTTACATTTTTCTTTAAATAATAATTTTGTTATTTATTAAACGCTTATTTTTGTACGATATACGAAGGACTAATTGGGGAACTAAATTAAAATATTTACAACATTATTGTTTAAAAATTTTCTAATACTTATACCTTTTTAATTCGTTTTCGAATTAAAAGGTAAACAACTTTTTGTTAAACAAAATTTTGTGATTATATTAAAAGTTTGCGAAAGTTTGAATCGCATTTGAATTGTAGTAACCAACATTTTAGAAAATATTTTCACTGTCTGATCTAAGCAACGCTTATACCACTGTTGCAGTGATTCTCCTTGGGTTTCCTTTCTCTCAATAGAGAATCGAAGCGGTACGAAGAATATTTCAAATTTTCGGCGCATGTTACAAAAACTGTATCTTTTTTAATTCTACGCAGTATTTATATATAAAACAATTATATATATATATATATATATATATATATATATATATGATTAAAGAATTGTATAAAAATATAATTCTTTTTTTTTTTTAAATGAATTTATTTTTCCAACGAGATCAGGGTAGATTGCGAGAGTTATTTGAAAAAGAACCGCTTCGCTTTTCCGAATCCTATCTCATATATCTTCCTCACTCTATCTCATTCGGGATAAGAACGCACCGCTACGTAGAGGGTACACACAGAAAAATGCATACTGTATCAAGTATATAATAAGTTTATATATCCGCAAATATATTATAAGATTTTCGTAAGTATTTAATTTACTCAAAATACAAATTTACTAAGATTTAGAGTGTATTTTGAGTAAATTAAATACTTACAAAGATCTTATAATATATTTGCGGATATATAAACTTATTATATACTTGGATACAGTATGTTTTTCTGTGTGTAGAAAAATGAAATACGATGGCACAGGAAGCGACTTATCCCCCGACTTTGGCTCGATCCCGAAGTATCTCTCTTCTTACGTTGTTCTTTTTGTGTTTTGTTTTAGCACTGGCAAGGCCATGCTTGCCATTAACAAAGGCTTACAGAGGTCAGTATTTTTTTCGTTACTACCACTACGTTCTCCGTTCCTGATTTTTTCGTTTAATTCCGTTGTGTGGCTTTTCTGCTCTCTCTCTTTCTTTCACTTCTTGGTCTCGTTACGGACTCGAATAAATCGGATGTCGCGTAAAAAGATTTTTTATCATATTTTTATGATTATTATTTAAAAAAGTTTTAATGTCATTTTCGCAGTATTATATATATTTTATGATAAGTTTTTAGTTGAAAAACTCACAAAAGATTTCTTATTATAGATTAGTAATTTCGTAACGAGAAAACAAATTTTTTATTATTCTCCTTTGCATTACCCGGTTTTGCATTTTTTACGCCTGGTTGCTTCCGCTTTAGTTCGATTCAGTTGTGCAACACAATAGTAGATGTGTTGATGTCACGTTTTCTTGAGTTTGCAACCAAACCTTCTTGGTTCTCCATTCTTCCACTTGTTTACATAGTGCAATTTCTTCTAGTTTTATTTTTTTTTGTTTTTGTTTTTTTTTTTTTTTTGTTTTTTTTGTTTTTTTTTAAGTAACGATGAAACTGCTGCAGAGTATTTGTCGCCGCAATAAGAATTCTATATAGCTTATAGAAAATATTTTATATTTTTATTCGCATTTTGTGTGCAATTAAAAGCGGCTTTTGTGTCTCGAAAAACAAAAATATAGCTGTAATTGAATTATCACATCATTGATAAAGAGATACAGATTTTGTATTTTTTTATTTTTATATTTTTATATGCACAGACATTAGAAAGTAATTTTATCCAATGTAAAATTTTATATCAAATCATTTCTTGATATTTTACGTTTTGTTTTTGTAAATAAGTTTCGTTAAGCTGCAAAGTTTTGCGAACAATCAATGATCTTCGAATTATCTTCGAAAGTATTAAAGAAAAAAGCGAATGCAAGGATAAGACTGACGTACACATGCTTAATGACGACACGCAAGCAACGTGATGTTTTCTCCTTATATCCTTCCAACTCCATCGTTTTTTTTTTTTTTCGATCCTTCACACATACTCGCACAATCTACACAGACACGTACTCACATACGTAAACATGTGTAATTAAATCAAACGTGTGCACAAGGTCGCATAGACACCCGATGCACATGTCTCTGCGTAAACATGTGGAAAAAAAAAAGCACACGTTTACTTTTACCTCGCGATAATATATGTAACAACGTTCGTGACGAATTCATACGTTAATTACTGTGGCCTCGGCATTATACTGAGTACTCACCGAGATGTGCCCTGTTTTAACGCGGCTTGTGACGTCAAGTAGGTACGTAGATATTTTTATACACAAATTGTAAATATCTCCTTTCACTTATAAACGCTCCTCATATGGAACGTGCAATTTTTTAATTCCTAATTCTCTGAAAGTTCTTTTTTCGTTTATCATTTACGAGAATTCTTTTTTGCATTCAATGGTGAATTAACCAGCAACTTTTTTTTAATTGAAAAATGTCACTGAAGGAAACTTGCGCTTGCATTTTCAAGAAATATTTGTTTTTTGTACCTATTTGAGCCTTTGTATGTATGTAAATGCATGCACGTAAATTGATATATTTTTTTTCAACATTACGTTATTGTGTCCATATGTCGGGAATGCATTGTTAAAAAAGAAATTAGATTTTGAAAAATTTACGTGAGTTAGTGCTATGTATTTGTTATAAACTTTTGCATACGAGAAGTATGAATGAGTAACTTTTCTTCTTTGTGACTTCATGTGATTCTACGATTTATTTTTATATTCCTTTTTTTTATACTCACTTTATAGTTTTATAAACTATTCAAGCAATCATATTGTTCACTTTCTCTTGTCTTTTTGATGTCTCTCTATTTTTTCCTTATTATATACAGGTATATACTATATATGCATATATCAAGTTCAAGTCTATACCTACTTACTTATAGATTTGCACATAATAAATAATCTTTGTTATCTATAGGATGCGTCAACATATAAATACAGTGACTGAAATATCTAAACAATTTTTTTTTTGAGTAAATAAATGATGCACTCTATTGTAACAAATTGATAATTTTGCAAGTTAGGTTGTTTATTAAAATATTAATATGTTAAGAAAATTTTTTTGATATAGAAATGAATAACACGGAAGAGTATACTCTTATATTTCCGTATACGCATGACTTTGTAGTAGTGTATGTATACAAAGCTATGTATAAAGCAAAGGTTTGCACGCTATTGTTACATTATCACTTATATTATTGTTTTTTCTTTTTTTTTTTTCAATATTTGAGTATTTTTTAAATTAATTGGTGCTAAGAATTAGATGTTTTTGTGATATTATTTGTTTCTCATGTTTTTCGACGTCACTGTCATATATATATATATATATAATGTCTGCAAAAGTATTATTTGTGTACAAGTATTGATTATACATCACGCGAAATATATATAAATGTTTTTCACGTCAATATATAAATATATATATATATATATATATATATTTATATATTTATATTTTTATATTTATATTTATATTTATATTTATATCTTCACACGTTTAATTTCATTGGGATTGCGATATACTGTGCGAGTAGCGTATAATCCAAATTCAATATAGATGTCTCAGTAAAGAAGTATATACAGTTAATATATAACACGGATTGAACGATGCTAAAGCGTTCTCTTTTGTGTAAACGATTGCTACAAAACTGTATTTAATGTTAGAAGAAAAAACAACATTTCTCTAAACGCTTGCAAAGTAACGCGTCATTACTAACGTATTGTTGTCAGCTTGAACCCGCGCGGGAGGATATCTCTACTCGTTTGGCAATATGTTTCAATATACGTATCTTTTGTATTATGTTGATTGACAAATTGTTGATTTTGTTACTAAATACACATAATAAATTTATGAAATTAGTTTATTTTGATGTAATATAAAAGTACGTTTTATCATCGTTCACGTTTTTGTTCATCGTTATCAACCATCAGCAGAACAACGATGTCATGTGATGCCTGGCTCGTGTTACAGGTACAGTCCGCTGGCGGGTGACCTCCTGGCGAATTCGATGCTGCCCGGTAACACCATGAACGGCGCCGGCTGGTGCATCTTCGTGTACAATCTCGCGCCCGAGACTGAAGAGAACGTGCTGTGGCAGCTGTTCGGACCGTTTGGTGCCGTCCAGTCGGTGAAGGTCATACGCGACCTGCAGACGAACAAATGCAAGGGCTTTGGCTTCGTGACGATGACCAATTACGAGGAGGCAGTGGTCGCCATACAGAGCCTGAACGGCTACACTCTTGGCAACCGCGTGCTCCAAGTCAGCTTTAAGACGAATAAGAGCAAGGCGGCGTAGGACGAGCAACACGCGGCAGCGGCGGCGATGGCTGCGGCTGCGGCAGCGGACGCGGCGGCGGTATCGGCGCCCTACCATCGTCGCCATCGACTGCTACGTACTGCGGCGGTGGTACAGCTGCCGGTGCCGATGCCGGCGGGTCACCTCTACAACAAACGGGGCGTTGGCCCGATACCGGGTGTTAGCGGTGGCAACAACAACGTTAACAGCGCTCACATCGGCAGCGGTGGTGGCATTCTTCATGCAGGAACCAAGGGTCAGCGGCAGCCGTTTCTTCAACGCTTACCGTCGCGCATACATCATCTTACTCGAGCAATCGAGATGGCCGTTTGGGGAACGGCAAATCCGACGCAGCAACAGCAACAACAGCATCAGCACACGCAAGCCAAGACCTTGAAGAGCAAACCCAATAATAACCGTCAGGCCGGCAGCAAGAAGCTCCAGCAAAGCGAAAAAACGTAGTCGCGAGGAATGTAAGAGAGTGAGAAAGAGAGCGAAAGAGAGAGAGAAAGAGAGAGAGAGGGAGAGTACGTGTGCGTGTGAGAATGAGTAAAGAAAAGAGAATCGAAAGTTGCAAAGTAATTAGGAAGAAGTGGATCGTTCGATTTGTCCGATATACATAACCGTGGACTGTGCGTGTGGCTCAAAAGAAAATAGGAAGGATAGAAAAGAATATGATATTATCCCGTACAAGTATCGTGTCGTTTCATTCTCCTTTTATTCCTCGCTGAACTGTATTCTCTCGCATTTCTTCTCTTTTTTCTTCCCACTATGTGCGGAGTCGAAAATATGAGAAAGTTGCGGGAGTGAGAGATGTTCTCGATGTCTTATTGACACGCAAAATCCTACGAGATTTGATTAGGAGAAGAAGATTGACGCTTTTGACTTTGTCTTGCTCCTTCGTGATCGTCAATACGGATACCGAGAACGAGATTCATACAGTATCACAAAGATCGAGAATGAAAGATTCGAATAGGAAGTCTTGTTCCTAATCTTTATGAAGTTTTCCGACCATTCGCGCGAGGATAGAAAAAAAAGAGCTGAAGAAGCAGGACGATAGAGGAGGGGGAGAGAGGCAGAGAAAAGCTCGTGTTAGATCTTATGTGGCTCGCAAGTGACCGGTCGCGAGTCCTGTACATACAAATTGTCGATTTATACGTATTTGTATACTGATCGGCGCTGAATTGTTTCGCGAGAGAAGAACATAGCGCCTCATTTGTACGTCGTTTTATTCTGACAGTCGTTCGTCAACGATGGATAATAGCTGGAAGAGGACGACGTGTGGAAAAGGCGCCTTCTTCTCGCAGATTCAACGTTGGTCAATGAGGGCGCTTGTAGACCACGTGGTGTTTGCGTGCGTGAAAAGAAAGAGGTTGAAAAACTTGTAAAAAGAGGAGGCCCAAAAGAATCGAAAGTGAAAGAGAAAAGAAGAGAGAAAAGACTTTCCCTTTGACTAGAATTTGATGCTCCGAGAGCATTCTGTCATTTCAGCCGAATTTTTTTTTTTCTACTTCGCACATCCATGACCGGGTTAATCATGATGATATCGGGCTGTGAGACTGAACCATACACGACATACAAGCATATAGAAACTCTCATGTATACATACACGCACACACAGACATATACACATACACTAGTACATTTGTACAACTAGAAGAACGATCGACAAAACGCGCGACGTTAACAAAACCAATGGGCTGTCCTGGAAGGCTTTATGTATTAATACCTCTCGCGCGTGAGACGCGGTCACGTGAAATAAAACTTGTTGCGGGGAACACGTGGATCACGTAATCGCACCTCGCGCTTCCTGGCCGCGAGAGAAATACGCGAAAACAAAAATGGGTAAAAGTGTGAGAATGAGAGAGAGAGAGAGAAAGAAAGAGTGAAAGAGAGAGTAAGCTGAAGAGTGAGAGAGAGAGAGAGAGAGAGAGAAAGAAAGAAAGAGACAGACAGAGAAGAGTATAAAAATAAAAAAATAAAAAAAAATGAAATGTCAAAAACTGCTGCAAAATGCTTAGTAGTAGAGCTCGGAACACCCGGGTAGGCGGGTACCTGCTCCTCCCGCCCGTTATTCGTTGCACACGGGACGGATCAAGTTCGATGTACTCATACGCGCGTTGGGTAACGGGCGGTCAGGTATCCACTCTCGGTACTCGGTTCTTCTTTCGAGTCCTACTTAGTAGTAGGTGGTTATACATACTCGTTTTATGTATAAGTTTTAGAGAGTATTAGCGTTGTGTATGAATGAGAACGGGTGAGGAGGGGGAAAAAACAGGAACGGAAAGAATACGGTAAGGGTGCGAACAGTAAATACGGTAAAAGTGCGAAGGGAAGAGAACAAAATGAGAGAAGAGTAGAAACAAATGGGTAGATGAGAAAGGAAAGTCGAATCGATTTTGCAGAAATCCGTGAGAGCGAAGAACGGGCCTGACCGTTATTGGAGCTCGTGCATATTACACCAAAGGTATTATTAAATTAATTGACTACCGAATGTTATAATTGCGTTAACGAAATCGATGTCGGAAATTTGAGAGTGCTAAGTGCGGGAAAACCGGATATATATTGGTGATTTGGGAACAAATATGCGCGCGAAGGTACGTGTGTGAAGAGTCGCGAGAAGAAGAGAAAGTTGTGTGTTGGTTGGGGCAGGGCTCGCAATCACGAGTTTGAGCGGGCACGCATGCACTTTAGATGTGTAACGACAGTTCAATTTTGAGATGTTACCGATAACATCAAGAGAAACGACGTGTGTTACATGATTCTCAACGGCGTGGCTCTCCGAGGATCTTGAGCAGGTGGCGATCAAGAATCGATCGAAGAGACAAGAAAACACGGCCCAAGGTGATCGCGAAGCGATATTGCATACCAAATAGCGTACTTAATAGCTATTACATTATATACATATATATATATATACATATAAATATATATACATATATATATATATATATATACATATATGTATGATTAGCTTCCTGCTAGTCAGTACTCAGGTCTATCGCTGCACTACGCCGATAATACGCGCGAAACATGTCTTTTTTGTGTTTCTTTGGTGTTCTTTTTGTGTTCTTTTGTGTGGTTTTTTTTTTTTTTTTTTTATATAAGACATTTACATTAGATAGTAAACACGTTTTTCGCAGATGCACCGTCCGAGAGGATGTTTTTATGATGTTACGTAGCTTTACAGTCGTTAATCCTTCTATAAATTTTTGAGAGATTTTGTAGTCAACGGAACGAATCAAGAATGGATTTCTTGTCTAGTAGAAATTAAAAGATCAAAAATTAAAAAAACAAAAAAAATTTGTCTTTGTATATACAAGTTTTTACTTAACAATATGCAGATACTCAGAATGTATAATTGCTTAGCGTTTGATTTTATGCTTTTGCTCGTCATTGCTGATTGGTATTGCACATTTTGGCGATTCTTGAAAACATTTCGATGTATTGAAAAGTAAATCAATTGTAAGATTGAAACAAACTCGTGAGACTTTGCCTCACAAGAATATCGCTGGTTCTCATTTCGAGATATCGATATTAAAACAGAGTTTTATGTGTATATGTGTGCTGATTTCGCGAATTTGGCCTCTTCAGAATCCCAAAAATTTCTGAAGAGAGAGAAGGGAGGAGGCACTCGCGCATTCCTGAACTTCGAGGACGGTGCACGGACATGTGATACAGATTATTGATATAAAAACAAAATCGACCGATATTCAGACATATACAAGCCGCGAATTACAATCTAGTCTACGTGCAAACCGCCGCGTCGTCGGTACGATTATACGTGCTCTCCTCGCGCATGAAGAAGAAAAATGAAATTTGTAAACGCTAGCGATGATTAGAAAATGTTTGTGACGGACGTGATGAAGGAGCACGATTATAAAGTGAAACGACGCGAAAAAGCAAGCAAATCGAATCCCTCACAATTGTTCACGCGGCTCAGTAATTGTCGATCTCTCGCATTTTTCAAGTAACAATAGACCGATTAAGAACCGATTATAAGACCTGTATTTTAAAAGACGTCCTTTTCGAAGTAACGATTGTCTTTCAGGGTGATTTTCTGCAACCAATCGGAAGTAGTTCAATATATATATATATATATATACATATATATATATGTATATATGTATATATGTATATATGTATATATATAAGTATATATACGTATATAAAAAAAACTTGCTTTCCAAGTGCAACTGCGTCTTGAAACGATTTTCTACAAAGAACAATCGCTAATTATATAGAAATTTATCTTGCTAGTGAGTTTTCTTGACTGCGATCGTCACTCTCAAGATGACTCTTGATCGCGATTGACAGATTATGCAGCGTAAATATGCAAATCGCGCGTACTTAATTAATTGCGAGTGAGGCGACACTCGATTAAGAGTAGATTTAGTCAAGGACATCGAAACGTGAATATGTGCGTTGTCCGACTTATGTGTACGTTGTCCTGTACCTTTTTGTGTCTAGTCCGGGAGCCTCGGGGTGATGAAGATACCAAGGATGGAATTATGTCCGTTCCACTCCTCAGAGAGAAATCCATCCCGCGGCTTCCACGTAACGAGCGCTGTAATTTTTTTTCTAAGACAGTACTTTATTTATTTGGCTGCCTTTTTTGAAAGGCACACAGAGTCTTTCTTAAGAAAAAAAAAAACAAAAAGAGGTTTTGCCAAACCTGAAAAATCTACAATTAGTGCAAATTGATAAAATAGTAAAAATATACGTCTATATATACCGCGTAAGCGCAAACTCGCTCGCTGATCGGAAAGTGTTCGAATGATTGATCTCTCCTCGTTGTGATGTAATGATTACGATACTTCGATATCGTAATTTCATATACAGATTGAAAAATCCATACAGAACGATTAATTGCGCGAGCAAATAATTTTTACTTGCGATGTCTAAATTGCAATTTTTGTGCGCTTGTCAACAAAGTGCGTATATAGAGCAAAATAAATCGTCATTGGTAACAAAGTGATGGCTGGTATATTAATGCCATTGAAAAATGATTGCGA